TCTTGACAGTGATGGGGGAAGTAGACTGAGCTGGAAAAAGTGTATTTTTGCAACGACGTCTTATTAAATAAACCACAGTAACAGCCAGACTCAATACACCAGCAATTGATGGTAAGATGTACTTCAAAAATATGGTATTGCTTGATAATCGAGTTGTATTACATGACTTGACCTTAAATTGAGATGCTCCACACAATTCTCCATTGCCAATGAAAAAATCAGAGCTAAAGTTCTTAAAATGCCCTCCATTTGGAATTTCACCGGTCAGTTCATTGAACGAAACATTGAAATACTCAAGGTCTTCAAGTTTCTCCATTGACTTGGGGATTACACCATCGAGTTTATTCTTGGATAAATCCAACATTTTCAATGAAATCAGATTACCAAACGAATCAGGTATAGGACCATGCAATTGATTGTTTGATAATGTTAGATTTTCCAAACTTTGAAGTTGTCCTATAGTGCGAGGAATATTACCCGAGAATTGATTTCCTGATAGATATAACTCTAGCATGTTCTTCATGTTTCCAATTTCTGGAGCCAGCGACCCATTCAGAAAATTATTAGCTAAACTCAAAATCAGAATGTCCTTGTTAGTCCACATTGTCGATGGGATAGTGGAAGTCAATGAGTTGGAAGTTAAATAAATTTTTCGTAAAGTAGTTATATTTCCTAAACAAGTTGGTATCTGTTGAGAAAGCCGATTTGACTCCAAAGATACAAAATACAGATTTACCAAATTGCAAAGGCTGGTAGGTACTGGTCCCCATAGTTTATTTTCACGAAGATCCAACACTTGCAATTTTCTTAATTTACCCAATGTGTCAGGAATGCTTCCTGTGAATACATTTTATAACAAAAATTAAAATTCAAAATTAAAATATTTAAAGTTTCAAAAAGTGATTATCGAATGTTAATACTTAAAGTAAAGAGATCAGTTAAATTTAATCAAAATATTATATTCAAATATGGTAGCTTTAATATATATTTTTAAAGAATGATTTTATAATTACTAATGTATAAATTAACTTAGAATATTAAATTATTTAGTAAACAAGGTGATGCAAGGCAAAAGGAACAGTATACGAGAATAAAGAATAAACCTAAATCAAGTTAATTCTTAAAATACCTGTGAATTTTGAAAATCAATAATTCGTTGATTTGCAATTGAATATTTAATAATTGATCTAGGTTGAGAAGTCGTTAATTCTGCAGAAACATTTTACGTCAAAAAATTGTAAAAGAAACACTCTCAAAACTTTTATAATGTTTTAATCAAAAGACTCCAAAGTACAAAGCTCATCTTTGCTACTAACGAAGAAATTCCTATCCATTAATTTTAACTGAAGTTGAATTTGGGTCCTCAAACTAACAAATAACAAAAATTAAA